AGCGAACGCCGGTATGTGTTCGCTCACTTCTCGATCTACTGAGCCGACCTGTGACAGTCTCATTGTCACAGGTCGGCTAGAACTATGAGGTGAGTGAAAACCACTCACCTCATAGTTCTCCTTTTAACATTCGATTTTGGAATAAATGAAGTCCCCCCGAACAAAACCCACATTCAGTGTTAGAATATGATTAATTCAAGAAAAAATTTCCATCCCGCTCCTTTGATTTTTTTTCATCACAAGAGTCAAAAAGAATCATCGATTTGACCCCATTAACTATGAAAAGAGTACAAAAACGTTCCAAAACCAATTTTTTTCAAAATAAATTCTACTGGTGCACGGCCAGCTTTAGAGATAAGAGGGGGTTGTCCCGATAATATATTTCGGAGTCCATCATCTTTGTCCAGCTCACAGTTCTGTCCCTTGACAGATAATAGATAAAATGACAAAATGCTGCGATCAAATGCCGCTTGATTTACACCTCTGTGTTATTGCCTGGACTCATTTGTAAATGACCTATTTGTTTTGTTGATCTATATCGGTGTCTCCTCATCTCGATCTCCCTATTTATTATTGATTTCGTTTACTTGTGTTCTTTCATGTCCTCTGACTTGTGTATATTATCAGTATGTTATAGCTCAGTTATTTTGTATAACTCTTCCTGATGAAGAGATCTGAGTATCATCAACAGCTTCCACTACAAAATACAGGCAGTCCCCGGGTTACGAACAAGATAGGGGACTGTAGGTTTGTTCTTAAAGGGGTTCTAAACCCTCCATTTTTTTTTGCTTATATCTACTGCTAGCAAGCAGTAGATATAGGCAAGAAGTGTAAAAAAAAAAAAGAACGCTTAAAATCATTTAAAACTTACCTTGTTATCGCCGCTCGCTCCCGCACCGAGAATCAGGAACTGCTCGTACGGCCGCAAAGGATCTTGGGGCGGGCGCATGCGAAATTCCGATTCTCGGCCGAGAGACGAGCAGAGACGGAAGGTAAGTCTATGGACGCGTGCACCCGCCTGCAGACACCGCTGGATCGGAGAGACAGAGCAGTCAGCGCTGGATCGGAGGGATGTCACACCGCTGGAGGGACACATGAAAAAATCCGGAAAGAAGAGGAAGATCGGAAAAAGAGACATCATTTAAGGTAAGTGCTAACATTTACATGGGGGGGAGGGACATTTTTTTTGCCTTTAATGTCACTTTAAGTTGAATTTGTATGTAAGTTGGAACAGGTACATTTTTTAAGTGTAATTCCAGGCCAACATTTTTATTAGTTTTGGATAGCATAGAGAAGGGTTAAAGGAGAACTATGAGGTGAGTGATTTTCACTGAACCTCATAGTTCAAGCCGACGTGTGACAATGAAACTGTCACAGGTCGGCTCAAAAGATCGGGAAGTGAGCGAACACATACTGTCACTAGCTCACTTCTCGATCCTGTCCCCGCAGAGAGCGCTGACTGTCACTCACGGCTCCCTGCAGGGATTCCCCCTCCCCGCTCCGATCCTCCAGCGCTGACTGGCGGAACGGACTGGGGAGGGGGTGGATATAGCTGGCTCTGCCTCTGGATAGGCAGAGCAAGCTGTCAATCCCGCAGCTGTGTATCACGACAGCAATGTCGGGATACGCTCTGGCTGCGGCGTCTCAGTATACCGCGAGCTGTAGCTCGTGGTATACTGAGGTTTGGGTGACGGGAGAACGCTAGTTTGTGTTCTCCCGTGACCCTTAGGAGAACTATGGGGAAAAGCCCTGACCCCATAGTTCTCCTTTAACCCCCTGTAACGTTTGTTTTGCTGCATGTGCCCTGTTCAGAAGATTTCACTTCACTTTCTGTCCCTGTGACAATTAGATTTTGAAAACTGGAAACAAGGATTGGTGATAAAGCTTCAGTGGAGACACCTTTTTCCCATGATAACTCTTACAGGAGTGAATTTCCCTTCCTAGGGGTAGATTTCCTCTCACTTCCTATTGTCTCAAGGACAGGAAGTGAGATTAAATCTTCCTAATGAGGATACAGACAGCAGTAAAAACCTCACAGTGACCCGGAAGAAGAGGCGGGCACCCCTCGTCTACACACCTAAAGAGAGCCAACTTCCTGTAATGTGCGTACAGTACTACGGTCCCTGCATCCTGGGACCCCCTGCTCTACAGTAATAGCCTCCGTTTGTAAGTAGGGGTCGTATGTAAGTCGGATGTTTGTAACTCGGGGAATGCCTGTATACTCAACTGACTGCCTATATCTTCTCTTTCCTTATACTAGCTTTAGCTAATGTGGAAAGTAAGATATTTCCCCAACTATGACCAGACCAAACACATACTGTCACTCGCTCACTTCTCGATCCTGTCCCCGCAGAGAGCGCTGACTGTCACTCACGGCTCCCTGCAGGGATTCCCCCTCCCCGCTCCGATCCTCCAGCGCTGACTGGCGGAACGGACTGGGGAGGGGGTGGATATAGCTGGCTCTGCCTCTGGATAGGCAGAGCAAGCTGTCAATCCCGCAGCTGTGTATCACGACAGCAATGTCGGGATACGCTCTGGCTGCGGCGTCTCAGTATACCGCGAGCTGTAGCTCGTGGTATACTGAGGTTTGGGTGACGGGAGAACGCTAGTTTGTGTTCTCCCGTGACCCTTAGGAGAACTATGGGGAAAAGCCCTGACCCCATAGTTCTCCTTTAACCCCCTGTAACGTTTGTTTTGCTGCATGTGCCCTGTTCAGAAGATTTCACTTCACTTTCTGTCCCTGTGACAATTAGATTTTGAAAACTGGAAACAAGGATTGGTGATAAAGCTTCAGTGGAGACACCTTTTTCCCATGATAACTCTTACAGGAGTGAATTTCCCTTCCTAGGGGTAGATTTCCTCTCACTTCCTATTGTCTCAAGGACAGGAAGTGAGATTAAATCTTCCTAATGAGGATACAGACAGCAGTAAAAACCTCACAGTGACCCGGAAGAAGAGGCGGGCACCCCTCGTCTACACACCTAAAGAGAGCCAACTTCCTGTAATGTGCGTACAGTACTACGGTCCCTGCATCCTGGGACCCCCTGCTCTACAGTAATAGCCTCCGTTTGTAAGTAGGGGTCGTATGTAAGTCGGATGTTTGTAACTCGGGGAATGCCTGTATACTCAACTGACTGCCTATATCTTCTCTTTCCTTATACTAGCTTTAGCTAATGTGGAAAGTAAGATATTTCCCCAACTATGACCAGACCTCCTACTTTTTGCCCAGGGCTGAGGTATACGGCAATGATTTATTTTTATTGTATTTATTTATTTATTGGTCGTGATTCTAAAGTGGTAGGTTTGGCAAATAAATACCCCGGGGGCAGTGACCAGGTTTACCAGGCAACACTAAAAAGTACTTGTGAAATGTATACTTTCTAAAAACGTGTAGTTTCCCAAAAACTATAACCTGCAAAGGGCTATAAAGGAAAGATGTGCATCAAAGTATGTTTCTGGTTCAGAAAACAATTCGAAATATACAACTATTGCTGGACTTTTTGGGGCTAGATGTACAGAAAGGTGTTTAAATAGGTAGATGGGTGGATAAAAGATAGATAGATAGAAAGACAGAAGGATGTCAATTTAATCAAAGAATTCCAACACCTTGCAGTAGAATTGTAGGCACTGTATATATTAAAGACCACAATTTAATCCATTTATATATTCATTAAAAAAAACCTTTAATGTATGTTAAATAATACCTCAATCTGTCACTTGTACAGCATTAGAGGGAAGGACACGACTGTAAGACAATTAAACAGAAGGAGATTGGTAGCAGGACGTGAGGGCACTGGGATGACCTCATCAATGAGCTGCTGCTCCTCTGCTATCAAACCACAGCCTGGGGAGATCCGTGACAAAGCTGTATCGATTTAACTGCAGAGGAGAAAATTGAGGTCACAGAACTGGTGTCAGAGGGTGTGAGAGACTCTCTGTGTCACCAGCAGGTGGCAGAAGGATCTCATCAAGGTGCAACTCTGCTATGTCAGGTCTTCTCCAAAGCCACTGAAGGTGTGCAGCGCTGGGGATTTCCTAAACGGTGACGGCAGACTTGAAGGAAGGGTGAAATGCAGAACAGAATCACAGAGAAGGAATGGAGTCAATTGTATTAAAGTCAGGTAGCAGGAGAGCTGTCTGCATTGTCTCCTCCTGTACATCTGATGTCAGCTTGATTGGAAATGTCACAGGGGGTACAGGGTCACTGTCAACAGCAACTTCTGTAATCCTTAATGGGGCCCCCTTCCATACCCAGGCCTCATAGCAGCCACGTGGGCTGCTTTGGCTATCGTTACAGTATGTGGCCACTCTCAGAATGAGCCAAAACAAGGGAACTGTGAGCATGCAGCCGCCCAAGTATGTTGATACCAGCCCACATACCCCTCAGCGTTGGGGTGAGCTTTAGGAGTGTTTCTTCCACAATAAAGTTCTCACCACAGGGGGGTGCTGGCAAAAGGAGCTTGTGTACCACCTACCTGCCCGCCCTTTCTGAACGTAGGGGTTCCTCAGACAACTAACTAGTTTGCCATGCATGTGAGTAAACGAATGTAAAAACACCACACCAAATTACAAATATTTTATTACCAGTCAGGTCCTGCCACGTTTTGAAACTGTCTAGTGTTGACAGATCAGAGGAAGTTGGGGCACAGGTCCCCCATTCCTTAATGCTTGAACCCCCATTTCCTGTGACATGACTATCCATATTTAGTATAAGTCAGCCTCAGTCCTGGCAGCTTCCTTAGTATGGAGATACCAGCCCACATGCCTGTCATGCTGACCTGGTATGGTCTGGGAGGAGGCAGGCAAGGAAGAAGGAAGTAGTACTTTTATACTTTTAGATAGTAAGCTCTCATGATCAGGGCCCTCCTAACCATCTTGTTTTGAGTTGTATTGTAACTGTACTGTCTCTCTTGATATAGTAAAGTATGGCGCAAACTGTTGACGCTATATACATCCTGTATAATAATAATAATAATAATAATGGGCAGGGCCCTCCTTACCATCTTGTCTTGAATTGTATTGTAATTGTAATGTCTTCCTTATATTGTAAAGCGCTGCGCAAACTGTTGGCGCTATATAAATCCTGTATAATAATAATACTCAAAATTATAATGTGATTTGCCAACATGTACCCTGTTGGTGTATGTGAAGCGTGTGTTTAATGATTGGTTCGCTTTAAAGTTGTACTTTCACAGCAGTATTTGACTAATACAGTTCCGGTATCAGGCTTTCCTTCTGTGTGATAAAAAAGGATCAGTAGAATGAGAAGTAACTGAGGAGCCTCATTATCATAACAAAGCTGGATCTATCCTAGACATCATGTGATAACCTCGAGCGGAAGGGATTATTGCTAATACATGTCATGCTCTTTTAGATGTATGAGATTATTTTTTATAGAGTAGATATAATGTGTCTGTAGTAAATACAATTAAACCTTTAGGAAAGCAACTGACTCTCCTTTGCTCCTATTACTTTTATATTCTCTCATCTCTTCTTCTTCCTTTTCTTTACTTCCCCCTCCTTTCATCCTTTTTTCTCTCCTTGCATCCTTTTCCTTTTCTCTCCTCTCTTCCTTGTCCCTTTTCTTTTCTTTTCTTCTCTTCTCACTTCCTTTTTATTTCCTATCCTTTACTGGGTTCTATTTCCTTTCCCTTTCTTTCCTCTGTTCATATTCATTTATTTTTCCTTTCCTCTCCTCTATCCCTTTTCATTTACAATCCTTTATTCCTTTACCTTTCCTCTGCTCTCTTCCTTTCCTCTCTTCCTTTTCCTTTCTTATCTTCCTTTTCTCACATTTTCCTTCTCTTTTTCCTCTTCTCTTCTACTTTTCTCCTTTCATCTTTTTCTTCCACTATTGCCCCTTTTTTTTTATTCTGCATATTAGGCGATCTGTATGAAATAATTTACCACCAAGACATGTAAACTTGTGGTGAAACTGGCAGCCAAATAATATGATTTGCTAATGTCTACATGTACCAGCATAGTGCTTGTAAAGTGTACTTTTTAATGATAGGTCCACTTTAAAGATGTACTTTGACAGAAGGACGAGGCAATTTCAGTTCAGGTATCAGGCTTTCCATCTAACTGTGTAATAGAAAAGGATCAGTACGAATGATAAGTAACTGAGGAGCCTCATCATCATGAAGAAGCTGGCTCTATTCTAGATGTCATGTGATGACCTCGAGCAGATGGGATTATGGCTAATACGTCTCATGCTCTTTCAGATGTATGAGATTATTTTTTAAAGAGTAGATGTAATGTGACTGTACAAAAAAACTTAAGAAAGGATCAGACTTGTCTCTCCTCCTTTTACTTTTATCTCATCGCCTTTTTTTTCCTTTCTTCTCCTTTCCTTCTTCTTACCTTTCTCCTTCTCCTTTCCTCTTTTTTCCTCCTTTGCTCTGCTCTATTTTTTTCTCTCTCCTTTTTCTATCCTCTCCTTTGCTCCTTTCTCTTCCTGTCTTGTTCTTCTCTCCTTTTTCCTTTTCAGTCCTTTATTCCTTTTACACTTCTCTTCTCTCTTCCTTTTACCTTTTCTCTCCTGGTTTCCTTTTCCCTTTTCTTTCTTCTTCCTCCCCCCCCCCCCCCCCCCCTTTTTTTCTTCCTCTTTTT